CGGCCTGCCGCAGCCTAGGGGCACGGCTACTGCGCGCCCCGCCCGCCTTCCGCACCGCCGCCCTCCCCGGTTCCGCCCCACGGGATCGGGCCGCCCCCGCTCGGTCACCCCACCGGGAGGAGCCGCCCCGCCAGGCTCGCCTGCGGGGCCTGGAGCGAACCGTTCTCCAGGGCACGAGTCGGCGCTGAGCTAGGAGGCAGCATTTCGTCAGCCGCGCGCCCTCCCGGGACGCCGGAGAGAGCCTCCGCACCTCCCCCGACCATGTGTACCTGGGGCTCTGCGGTGCGCTCCTCACGGCTGTGAACCTCTGTCTCCCCATCGTAAGAGGAGCGGCTTACCTCTGAGGTCCAGCCCAGCACTAACAGGAGAGTCAGCGGATGAGGCCGTATTTGGGACCAGAAATTTCTCAGGGGCTTGTTTTTAATGAAAAATCCTACGTGCACCGTGTTATTAAGAGCTTCGGTTTCGGGTGCAGACCACTACCTGAGCTGTAGGCAGGGGCTCTCCACTTTGTTGTATCATCCTAAGTAAATTATTAACCTCTCTGCTGCCTGGTTTTCTGTAGAAAGCAAACATAATTATAACTATTCCCTGGAATTGTGTGAAGTGTGCACAACTGCAGACACACAGCTACTCACTAGATGTTAGCTGCTATCCCCACTACCATCACCCATGATTTCCAAAGGCCTAGAATGAAAAGTAAGTCCCCTTACCCTGAGGAAACCACGAACCTTGTGTATTTTTCTATAGAGCACATAATGTACAGAGGTGTGTGTCTGTGTGTGTGTGTGTATACAAAAGGGAGCCCACTCTACTCTGTTGGGCCCCTCCTTTTTCATGTAACAAAATACCGTGGAATTCACTTCATGCCAGAACACTCTGCTCTGCCTCATTTCTTTTTAAAGGCTGCATAAAAACAACAAACAAAAACCAGTTGCCTTCAAATTGATCCCAATTCATGGCAACCCCGTGTGTGCAGAGTAGAACTGCTCTGTAGGGTTTTCAAGGCTGTGACCTTTCTGAAGCAGATCGCCAGGCCTTTCTTCAAGGCGCTTCTGGGTAGGTTTGAACCACCAACCTTTCGCTTAGTAGTAGAGCACTTAACTACTAAGTCTGTGCCACCCACGACTCTGAGGGCTACACGAATGTCCATATACTGCAAAAAGGATCTTTATTTAACTCAGCCTTCCCCTCTTGGTGGAAACAGGTGTTTTCTACTCTTGCTCACACATGCCATGCTGCCATGATCATGCCAATACTCCAGCCAGGCCTACCTCCTCATGAAGCCAGATGCAATACTCCTGCCTTTTCTGCAAGGCTGCCTTTACTCTGCACTCTCATTGCTGGTCACTCCGGCATGAACTTTCTTGTTGGCACACCAGTCTCCCAGGGAAGCACAGAAGACTTGGGCCTTTGGAACTGTTGACCAGGCTCCACCACTTACTAACTCATGGCCTTAGACAGGTCAGTTCACCTAACTGAGCCTCATTTCCTGCGTTTATAAAAGGAGGATAACAATACCTGTTCAACTGGGAAGTTGTAAGAATTAAATGAGATGATGTGTACAGAGTGCTTAGCGGAAAGTGAGTTGCATTCTTGGATAGCAAGGCACCCTGCCTTTGGCATGTCTGAAACTCCAGTGCTTGGTTCGGCCTGGCACTATGGCACAGAAGAGTGGGG